CAGTATCACACTCATAACAGGTACATACATCCACCATGCGATTTACAATGTTGAATATCTCAACGAAATCACAATCCGCACATGTTTTTAAGAAGCCATCTAAATTTTTAAACAAATTTATTTAAAAGATTTTGATGATTCAATGAGCATGGTAATTTCTTCATATCCCGCCCCCCCCATATCTGAGTCTCAGATTTAAGTTTTTAAGATAAACTGACATTTTCCACAATCATTTTTAATGCAATAATCACCATAAGTTTTTTCAAAAGGATTTCTAGTATTGCACGTATCTGTCACAGATACTGTACGAGTTCCATTTTTATAAGTAAAATCTACTTTGTCAAAACATTTGAGTGAGTCTGTTAAAAATTTTAATATTTTCATTTAAATTTTTAAAAATTTACGTCCAAATTTAAAGCTCATGAATAAGAAAAGAGCTAAAATATTAATTAATAATAATCCCATTTTTTAATTTAAAATTAATAATTTAGTCAAAAAAATTTTTATTGAAAAATATTTGAATGTTTTAAATTATAGAGAGAAGTTTTTAATAGGAAAAATATTTTTTGATGAATAATATTTTTTAAATTATAGTTGATTTTAATAGATTACTCATTAAAAAGTAAAATTTAATAAATTAATCAACAGTTAATATTTTTAGCTTCATTAATTATTACTTTTTTGAAAGGGTAATTTAAATTAAAAAATTATTAATAAAAATGGTTTAAGATAATTATATGTGTTTATTTGAAAATAAAAATATATTTATTGAATTAATAAATTAATAAATTCTTTAATCTTTTATATTTGGGCTTCATTCGTCTAGATTAAAGAAAGAATTAAAATAATCCAGCAAAATAAAAATATAGTCTTCATATTTGACACAACACCAAAGGCCGAGTTACAATAATCAGTATTGCACTGATAACAGGTACAGTCATCCCCCATGCCATTTACCATGTTACCTAACTCAAAGTAATCACAATCCGCACATGCTTTCCAGAAGCCATCTAAATTTTTAAACAAATTTATATTTCGTTCAGCAAATTTTTTATTGTGTATACCCCAACAAATTTTTTCCTGCGGCGCTGAAAATAAAGGAAATGCTAGTTGGGTTTTCTAAATTCTAAAAATTTTTTCCTGCAGTGTGAAAAGGGAAAAGGGAAAATTTGCATGATTAAGGTGATTTGGATGACATAAGGTGATTTGAGGGATTAAAGGGAAGATCGAGTATATCACAAATTTTTCCTTTCTTTTCCTCCTTTTCCCTCTTTACTTTCAGCAAATCTTGTATTTTGTTCAACTCACGCGTATCCCGGAAATTTAAAATGTGCGATTTTGCTGGATTATGCGGAATATGAACTAAGTATCCGAGCATGCATTTAGATTAGAATCGCGATTTTTTTAGATTGCGGCATTTTGGATTTAATTTTTTAAAATAAACTGACATTTTCCGCAATCATTTTTAACGCAATTATCTCCAAAAAGTCTATGAAGAGGTATTTTAGTATTGCACGTATCTGGCTCAACCACAACACGAGTTCCATTTTTATGAGTAAAATTTATTTCGACATGACATTTGAGTGAGTCTGTTAAAAAGTTTAATATTTTCTTCTAAATTCTTAAAAATTTACGTCCAGATTTAAAGCTCATGAATAAGAAAAGTGTAAAAATATTTATTAATAATAATCCCATTTTTAAAGTAAAATTAATAATTTAGTTAATTTTTTTTATTTAAAAAGATATGAATGATTTAAATTATAGAGAGTAGTTTTTAATAGGAAAAATATTTTTTGATGAATAATATTTTTTAAATTATAGTAGATTTTAATAGGATAGATTACTCATTAAAAAGTAAAATTTAATAAATTGATCAACACTTAATATTTTTAGCTTCATTAATTATTACTTTTATGGAAAGGTATTTTAAATAAAAATTATTACTAAAAATTGTGAAAGTAACTGAAATTGACATTTTTTGACAAAACTATAAGATTATTCCCATTGCTTTGGAAACACAATAAAAATTTGATGCAATAAAGATTTTAGAGTAATTAGAAACTCGGAACCTTGAGAAATAGAAAAAATTTAATTCGTGTTATAATTTCTTAACAAATCATGGTCTGTTGTTCGAACTTTTGTTCAAAATTTTTCCACGCACCTTCGACTTTTTGTACAAACAAAAGTTGCACTTCGAAAATTCTTGATTATACATATTTGCCCCTATTTATTTTTATATTAAGTACAAACATGAATTTTCTTTGATCTTTGAAATTTTTATTCAAAAATTATAAAAATTTTAAGAGAAATTTTTAAATAGCAAAATATTTATATTCATTTTCTACAATCATTTTTTAAATTCAAAATATTTTCATCAACATTCATTTAGTATAATTGTGGAAGCATAAAAGCTAAGATAATTTGAAAATTTATAAATTAAAAATCGGAATAGATTTGTTTATTTTCTAATTCTTTTCATTGTAGGTCCTATGTAATGTTGGTCCAAGGTTTTTCTACATATGTATAAGAAAGAATTTTTAGAACGTGTTGGTGTGTGACCTAATGATCAACCGGTTAATCGTTTTAGATCAAAAGGGACACGCGAATCATTTTCTACTCAGATCATTTACTAAGAAACCAGATTTTTTTACTGCTTCAGATCTTGTTCGATTATGATTTACAATGAAGCGGAACAGTACTCGGGATTAATCTCTAATTATAAAGTTATAAAATCAAGATATAAGAATTATTTACCATTAATTATCATGATAGTCAAGCAAGATAAAACAATAATCTTAATATTTGACAAAACACTAATTGCCAAGTTACACATATCAGTATCACATTCATAACAGGTACAATCACCCTTTTCAAATCTCATAAGCTTGTTAGCAAGTTTAATCATTGCACAAACATTACAACCTTTCCAATATCCATCTAAATTTTTAAATAAGATTTATTCCAAAATTTTATGAATGATATTCTGTAGGCTATCTAAGGCTCTTGCTATTGAGAATTGACATAACTTTTCTTAGGGAATTTTTCGGGCTTCGCCTTGGGGTGAGGTTTTTGTCTAAACTTTTTCGAATTCGTCATTTTATTTCCGAAAATGGAAGAAATATGGTTTCTTGGCCTACTAAAATTCGCTGGAACCCTTGGCGATCCTTTGATGGACGATCCTTTAATAAGCGATCCTTTAATACTTTTTGCCCGTGACGATCCTTTAATGGTTTTTACACGTTACGATTCTTTGAACGTTTTTAGCCGTAGCGATCCTTTTATGTTACGATCCTTTGTAGGAACACGTAGAAAACATACAAAGAGAGAAAGAAAATGCTTCGCAAATTACTTTGTGACTGAGAAATTTCAAGATTTTACTGGCATTTTGTTTAAATGTTGGGGGAAAATTAATCAAGGAAATCAAGGAAAAAATTTGCCTTGACCTTGACCTTGATTATTGATTTTGGTTGGGTACCTTGACCAGATTCTTGACCTTGAGTCAAGGAACTCTGAAAAATGCCTTGATCTGGACTCTGGATCCAGGAAAAATCAAGGTCTGGATCCAGATCCAGCTCGCTCTCTAATCTTCAGTCTTTGAAAATTTTCGGTATTGGAAGGCTTTAATATTCAGCATGCAGCTTCCTAAAGACAACATTTTTAATAAAACTGACATTCTCCACAATCGCTTTTAAAGCATTTATTAATAGGTACACCAAGTTCTTTAGATTCTTCTTTAGTATCGCACGTTGTTAAACCGGTTATAGCTATTTTTCCACTTCTTAAAGTAAGATCATCTTCTTCGTAACATTTGATTGTTTCTGTTGACAAGAAAAATATTTTTTTGATATTTTAAATTTACCTCCAAATTTAAAATTCAACAATAAGAAAAAAGTCAAAATATTAATTATTAATAACATTCTCATTTTTAAATTTATAATCAAATTTGTAATAAATAATTTAAAAAATATATGTATGAATGATTTAAATATATAGAGAGAAGTTTTTCTAGCTAAAAAATTTTTAATGAATAATAATTTTTTAAATTATAGTAGATTTTAATAGATTACTCATTAAAAAGTAAAATTTAATAAATTAATCAACATTTAACTTTTTACCTTCATTAATTATTACATTTTTGGAAGGGTACTTTAGATAAAAATTATTAATAAAAATAATAGAAGATAGGTAACTGAGCTTGACATTGACAAATCTATAAGATTTTTTCCATTGCTGTGGAAAACAATAAAAATTTGAGATTAATTGGGAACTCGGAACCTTGAAAAGCAGAAAATTTTAAGTCGTTTTATCATTACTTAACAAACCATAGACTGTCTCAGAGTTTAGTGTTCCTGAATATGATCACCTTCAATTCCACTGAATGAGAGAAAATCTTACTCTAGAGGGTTCGAACTATTGTTAAAAATTTTCCAAGCACCTTCGACTTGAGTACAAACAAAAGTTGCACTTCAAAAATTCTTGATTATACATATTTGCCCCTATTTATTTCTAAATTATATAAATTTTCTTTGATCTTTAAAATTTTTATTCCAAAAGTTATATAAATTTTTAAGAGAAATTATTAAATAGACAATCATTTTTTATCTGCGATCATTCTTTCAATTCTAAATATTTTCATTATCATTCATTTAATAGATTGGCGGAAGAATATAAGCTGGAATAATTTAAAGATTTATTTTTTTTAATCAGATTAGATGTGTCTATTATATTGTCTATGTTATTTTGGTATACGGTATTTCCACATATGGCCGTTAGAACGTGTCAGTGTGTGAATTGATCAATCGGTTAATGCCTTCAGATCAAGTATGCCAGCAGAAACCCGGACTTTTTAAGACCCACCCCAACTTTTTTCCTAACCTGTGACATCCCTGCTTAGATCTTGTTCGGCTTATTCGGGATATAGACTAATTTAAAATGAAGCGGAACATTATTTAGGATGTATCTCTAGAATTTTCAAAGTTATAAAATCGGGATAATAAAAATTATTTACCATTAATTATTATGATGATCAAGCAAAATAAAAAAATAATCATAAAATTCGAAAGAACACCACCTGCCGAATTACACTTATCACCATCACACTCATAACATGTACAATCACCGGTTTCAAATCCGAAAATCCCAATGTCAGAAAATTTAATACCTGCACAAGCAAAACAACCTTTATAATATCCATCTAAATTTTTGAATAAGATTTATTTCAAAATTTTAATAATGATATTCATCATGCAGCTCCCTAAAGACATAATTTTAAAGAAACTAACATTTTCCACAATCGCTTTTAATGCATTTAAACTTCATTGCAGCGAGTTCAGGCACTTCAGCAACTTGTGCAGAAGCTTGATCAGTATCGCACGTTGCTAACTTATTTTTAATAATTGTTCCATTTCTTTGAGTAAGATCAATTTCTTTGTAACATTCGATCGTGTCTGTTAACAAAAATATTAATATTTTTTGATTTTATAAATTTACCCCCAAATTTAAAATTCAACAATAAGAAAAGCGCCAAAATATTAATTAAAAACAATCCCATTTTTAAATTATTTAAAATAAAATTTCGATTTAATTTAGTTAAAATAATATTGAAAAATAAATGAATGATTTAAATATAGAGAGAAATTTTTAATGTGAAATTTTGCCGATAAAATTTTCCGATGATTAACGCTTTCTAAATTTTAATCATGATTTATTTGTAGATAAAGCATTAAAAAATAAAATTGAAAATTAGAACTTTCAATTTAAATATTTAATTAGTCATACTTTTAACTTTAGTATCGTTAATTATTTTTTAGAGGGATACATCAAATTAAAGAATTATCGACTAATAATAATTTTTTGATAAATAAATGGATGGGGTATTTTATAAGTTTCGGGTCCGGCATAATCAAAAAAATGTTATAAAGAGGTCAATGTTCTGTCTCCCACAGGAAGTTCCGGTTTTGCTTGACTGGCATGTTAAGGATTTTGGTTACAGATCCGGGTCTGATGTTTAAAAATCAGAGAAAAATTTACGTCTTTTTGTTATTTCTATATAGAATACATGTATTATAGCTATTTTAAATATTGATGAGGATTCTGGCCAAATTTCCAACCATAACCCCTCCAATTACTGAATTCTGACAATTTAATTATTCTTATTTTAAAAGAAATTTTGTACAAAATAAATATTTTCTTGAACATTTAAATTTGATATTAAAAAATGTTAAAATTTTATCAATAACAATTTCATTTTCTAAAATACTGACTAAACCGCACAAAATTTTGGAAGAGAAAATATCCGGAAATGAGAGAAAATCTTTCTATAGTGGGTTTGAACTGTTGTTCAAAATTTTCCACGCACCTTCGACTTTGAGTATAAACAAAAGTTGCACTTCAGAAATTTTTGATTCCATTTGACCCTATTTATTTCTATATTAAGTGATTAAATCTTCTTTGATCTTCAGAATTTTTATTTAAAAATAAATTTTTATTCAAAAATTGTATAAATTTTTAAGCAAAATTTTAAAAAGGAAAATATTTGTAATCATTTTCTACAATCATTTTATAATTTCGAAATATTTTCATCAACATTCATTTAATAGATTAGTGGAAGAATAAAAGCTTAAATAATTTAAAGATTATTTTTAGCTCTTTTCATTGTATGGTCAAAGTTATTTGGTGTACGGTATTTTTACATACGGAAAATCCGTTAGAATAGGCGGTGTATGAGTTAGTGATGCACCGGTTTATGGCTTCAGAAAGGTTACCCGAAACCCGGACTTTTTTTTCACGAAACCTGACCTTTTTTTAACCTGTGACATCACCACTTTAAATTAGAGTTGGGCAAAACGATACTGGTATCGGCCAACCCGAGATCGAGATTAACCGATACTCAAGAACCCGATACCGAGACCGATACCAACATTTTGAGCCGAGACCGATACCGAGAAACGATACTGACCGAGACTAACAGAAAATTTTATTTTACGTCAAAAAATACGTGTAAAAATAATTTATTCATTATTTTGATCATCCAAATCATCAGATAAATACTCTTCATCATCTGGATCCAATTCGATTGATGGTTAACATCCTTTTTTATAAAAAATACAATAGTAGCATTTATAGGTAAAAGGATTATACACTCTGTTCCAAAAGTATATAACATTCGATTACATTCGATATCCTACCGCCTTACATCGAGAATATCCCCTTAATAACCCAAATCCCTCCAAATACCCCAGTATTGTATTTAAGCCTTTTAATTTTATTAAATTACTGGGACTCAGTTGAGCTAGATAAAAGAGCAACTCAGTCGTGCGAACTCAATCGTGAGGGCTTAGTGAAATGCTCGGATTTTGTAAGGCAAATAAAGAAGGATTTCTCTTTTCAGCGCCCAGGCGAAAATTTTTTGAAATTCAGAAGGCCAAAGGTCAAAAATCCTTGGTTTTATTAAAAAATACAAGAAAATTGGGGTCTTTGAGTCAGTATCGTTTCTCGCCGAGAAATGGACCGAGAATATCGGTTCCGAGACCGAGAATGAAAAAACCGAGACCGATATTGGAAAAAAGCCGAGAATCTCGGTATCGGTCTCGGTATCGGTCTCGACTTGTCCAACTCTACTTTAAATCTTATTCGGGTTATTCGGGCTATAGACTAATTTACAATGAAGCGGAACAGTACTATGGATTAATCTAAAATTTTCAGAGTAATAAGAACGAGATAACAAAAATTAATTACGATTAATTATCATGATAGTCAAGCAAAATAAAAAAATAATCTTCAAGTTCGACAGAACACCAATTGCCGAGTTACAATAATCAGTATCACATTCATAACATGTACAATCACCCTTTTCAAATTTTAGCCCTCTGTTAATAAGTTTAACACCTACACAAATACTACAGCCTTTATAATATCCATCTAAATTTTCGAATAAGATTTATTTCAAAGTTTTAAGATCCCTAAAGACATAATTTTTAAAGAAACTGACATTCTCCACAATCGCTTTTATAGCATTTAAGCTTAATACCAGCCACTTGTTCTTTAACTTCTTCAGGAACTTTTTCAGCAATTTGTTCAGAAAGTTGTTCAGTATCGCACGTTGTTAACTTATCTATAACAGGAAGCCCCTTTTTTGTTTCAAGATCAAATTCTTGGTAACACTTGATTGGGTCTGTTTAACAAGAAAAATATTTTCTCTGATTTTTAAAATTTACCCCCAAATTTAAAATTAATCATTAAGAAAAGAGACAAAATACTAATTAAAAACAATCCCATTTTTAAATTCGGAAAAAATAATTTAGTTAAAAATTTTTTTAAAATAAAATATGAATGTTTTAGATATATAGAGAGAGATTTTGATAGGAAAAAAATTTTTTCTGATGAATAACACTTTTTTTAAAATAAATATTTTGTTTAAAATTTTTTAACGAAAGGGAAAATATATTTTTTTGAATGATAATACTTTTTTAATTATAATTATGATTTTAATAGCTTAATTATTAAAAGCACCGCAAACCAGCAAGGGCCCTAGCGGACTTGTAATTTTGGTTAAGTGGATATGAGCGATGACTACAAAATCGTTAAAAAATAGGTCTCGGGTTCGAACCTTTTCATGGTTATTTAATATTTTCTAATTAAAATAACGAAATAAAACATGAATAAAAAAATTTTAAATAATATTTAAAGTGCATAAAATTTTTTAAACTTTTTAAAATAAAAACAGGTGAAATTTTAAAAGATCGGATGCAATTTTTTAATGTAATTTTTTTCAAATTTGGGTATTGAAAAAACCTTAATTTCGAGGAATAGGGTAAGAAACGATCCCAAACCAAGTGGGCATGAATAAATGTTTTAGAACATACCTTAACTTTACAATATTAAAATTTGGGGTTTTACTCCCCAATTGGCCGGGCGAATTGAATTTGGACAAGAAATGAAATTAGACTGCGACATATGCATTAAGAGCCGGGTCGTAAAATGCTGGGAACAACGTAAAAACAGCATTTTTTGGGCTTCTTTTTTTGAGGTATATCCCAGACAGAACATGGATTTGTTTTTTTGGACAACCCTACCCATAAGTGTCTAAATCCCGAAATTTGTATAAGCGTCCCATTTTGATACGCTTAGACCTCAGAAAGCGCATAAAATTTTACTAAACGCATTAGCTAACGTTCCAAAAAAATTTTAAATAAAGTTCACAATTTATTTACAAAACAATTAATTTACTAATTTAACAACGAAAAATTTTATCAAAAATTATCTTCAATTATCAGTTAATCTTTTTAATTTACTGTATATTCTTTTCAATACCAACCGACGTCGTCTCACTTAAATAAATTTATTATAAAATTAAGTATAAGACAGTCCGACCTCTCTATAAGAGACATTCAATATTAGGTGCACTTCTATTTAAGAGACGTTTTTTTAATCTTGTTGGCCACTAGTTGGGGGTGGGGGGGGGGTGCCTAAGCGATGCCTTCTTTTTAAAAACAACTCATTATAAAGCACTTTTTTATTCAAAAGAGGTCTTGTAGTGAGGTCCGATAATTTGAAAATTAAAAAATTTATTAAACGTACCTTGCAAATTTTTTCGCATTCCTCTTTTGTAGAAAAACGATTTTCATTACCTCTACACCCACCATAATCAAATTCCTATTTTTTAATTAAATTTTAAATTTTTATAAAATTAACTTTGCATTCTCCATTGTCATAATACCATCTAGGTAATAATGCACTACACAGACCGACCTCTTTTGCCAAATTACAGCGCTAATTTTTTCAAAATTAATTTTAAGCTTTCAAAATTTAATTTTTAGAACGTTCAAATCTGAATTCCATCGGAAAAAGTAGGGTGATGATTTAAATTTAAAAAGTGACTGAAAAATCGAGGTGGAACCAGGTTTAGTCCCAAGAAGTAAAGGCTCGGTACGGCTTGTATACAGCCAAATAAATCTCCGTACCGGCCTTGTACTCTCAAAAACAATAACTAAAAAACCTTGGAAATTTCATGAACTCGAACATATGATTACTGCTTTCTGCGCGCCTCCTACTCTATATCCACGCAAAGCGTGGGGACTTAATAAAATTTTCATTATATTTGCCCTTGTTTAATTCTTTACCATATAAGCTTGATTTGAACCCATTATCTAGATGTCGAATAAGGTTATGCCAAAAACAAACTGCCCACATCCAAAAAGGGCGCGTGTCCATAACTTGCTGGAAAAAGCTGACACATGCCATTTTTGGTAGTAATCCCTTTAGCTCGATGAGAGTAATCGTCTAATATTAAATGACCGATTGTAATTATTTCAGAAAAAAGACTTTATGTTTAGGGCTATTTTTAAAATTACTTACACGTGGCTTATCTCCATTAATCATTGAAAAAACGAAAAATAAGAGGATGACCAAAAATATTTTACAATGCATTTTGGGAAATTTAAAAATTATTAAAAATTATTCTTATTAAATAATTTGTGAAAAACTAATTAAATTACTCAAATTTATATAACCCAAAATTTTGCTGATTAATTTAAATTCGCTAAACAAACTAATAAATTATTCATATATTTAAATAAATATTTGAAGAACATAAAAAATTGAAAATTAAAATTAAACCCTTCGTTTTAGTCCAAAAAAATTTTGGGAAATAGAATTAAACAAATTATAATTTAAATTTTATGTTAGTTTCGTTCCGCTAAAATAAATTTATTTTATATTCAAATTAAAATTAATTAGTTAGATTTATTCGTGATGTAATATTAGAGATCCTTCAAAAGAGTCAAGATATTATTTTCATACAAATTCGATAAACGGTTCGAGCAGTTAAATAGTATAATATTAATACTTTTAGTATCCAAATATTAATACAATTTTTACTGTAAAACATTTCCTACAAACACCTTTAACGGATCTTATTTAATTTTTATATCTAAAAATTTTGGTTGAAAATATAAAATAATAAATATACTAAAATAAAATATAGTAAATAATAATATAATATAATAATAATATTATAATCAGGGTGGCCCCTTCCAAAATACTAAAATAGGGCGCAGCCACTCAAAAATAGGGCGAAATCGGTCAAAAATAGGGAAAATCCTCTATAAATAGGGTAAAAGGGCCACCCTGATTATAATACATAATATCTAAATCAGGGATGGGGGCTCCGAATTGAGAGACAAAATCTGCAAGTTTCAGATGTACATATATTTAGAGGGTGACAAGAAAGTAATGACAAGAAAATAAATTACTTTCTTGTCACCCTGCATAAAGTAATGAATTCAATCTTTTATTTACTTAGTCATAATAATTTAAATTTAAAATAAATAGTAGATCACAATCAAGCAAATCACAACTATAATCTTTAAATTCAACATAATTCCAAAGGCCAAGTTACAAAAATCTTTATCATCGCACTCATAGCAAGGGCAGTCATCCTCAATGTAATTTGCCTTTAAAGATTGATGGAAAGTTTCACATTCCGCACACACTTTCATTACGCCATCTAAACTTTTGAGCAAATTTATTTAAAATTAAAGGATTTTAAATAATCACTCAAAATTTAGGATTTAATTTGGCTCTACTCTAGTTATGCGTCCAATTGATTTTTATGCGTCCAATGAAAGTTTATGCGTCCAATAAAAAGAAAATTAGATTTTTCTTGGTAATGCAAAGTTGGGGTATGGTTCCACAACATTATTCATGTTCGGGACCTACGCCCGCTGGGTCTGGGACCGTTCCTTAACCTATCCCTCGAAATTTCTTAAAGACAGCCAATTTTATAAAATTTATAGAAAAACGATTTTAACTTTCAATAATTTCAAGGGATAGTGTAAGGAATGGTCCCAGCCCAATGCGCGTAGGTCCTGAACATGAAGAAATGTTGTGGAACCATACCCCAACTTTGTAATACCAAGAAAAATCCAATTTTCTTTTTATTGGACGCATAAACTTTCATTAAATGCATAAAAGTCGATTGGACGCATACACTCGAGTAGAGCTTTTATTTTTAATAGACTAACATTTGCTACAAACAGCTTTAACGCATTTATCACCAAATTCACGCCAAGGATATTTTTCAGTATCGCACTCTATTAACTTAATCTCTGTTCTATTTGTTGAAAAAAGATCTTCATCTACGTAACATTTAACCGAGTCTGTTAATAAATGATAATTTTTTGTTTTTTTAAATTTACCTCCAAATTTAAAATTTAAAAATAAGAAAAAAGTCAAAACATTTATTAATGATAAACCCATTTTTAAATTAAAATAAGATTTAGAATAAATAATTTGACTAAAATTTTTAATGAAAAATATATGAATGATTTTAATAGATATTAGAGAGAGATTTTTAATGGGAAAATATTTATTTTCTGTTATCAATTTTGAAGTTATAATGAATCATCAAAAGTATAAAATTTCAAATATTGATGAACCGACACGAAGTAATCGGATACTGCGGATAACTCTGAATAACTATAATAGATACTAAATTTGAGATGGGCCCTGCAATTTCAAATATTAGAGACCGGGATCGGGACTATAATAGATACCAAATTAGGGATGGGCTTTGATGCATTTTAAACAATCAGTTATTCGCCAGTTATGTTAATGGAATTTTATTCACTGGAATTTTGGTTACAAAGATTTTTCGGAACTTTGGCGTTTGTCAAATTAAGTTAGATTTCAGTTATTTTGACGTCATTTGGCTCGGCTCAAGAAGCTCTTTTGAATAAGGTATAATTTGCATTTTTGAAGTTTTTACCCCAAAATTTAGCTTACTCCCCCCTATGGTTTTTCGATTTTCGGGGAACTATATCTCGGCCCAGTTCTCGATTTATCACAATTTTGATGTATAGAATAATTAATTTTTGACAAAATCAAGAAATTCACTCCAATTATCCGAAAACTTTCTTGTCATCCTGGATAAAAATAAAAATGAATGAATTTAATCTTTTTTACTTAAACATCATAATTTAAATAAAATAAATCAAAATAATAAATAGATCACAATCAAGCAAATCACAAATATAATCTTTAAATTAAACAGAATTCCAAAGGCCATGTTACAAAAATCTTTGTCATCGCACTCATAGCAGGGACAGTCGTCGTAAATGTCATTTAACTTTAAAGATTGCTGATAAGATTCACATTCCCCACAATCTCTTATTGGGCCATCTAAATTTTTGAGCAAATTTATTTAAACTTAAAGTATTTTAAATAAAATTTTCAACATTTATGATTTAATTTTTAATGAACTAACATTTGCTACAAACTGCTTTAACGCATTTATCACCACCAAGACTTGTAGGATATTCTGTAGTATCGCACTCTAAAAACTTAATCTCAGTTCTATTTTTTGAAAAAAGATCTTCATCTACGTAACATTTGACCGAGTCTGTTAATAAAAAAGAATAAGAAGGATATTTCTTTTTAATTTACCTCCAAATTTAAAATTTATTAATAAGAAAAAAGTCAAAATATTTATTAATACCAATTCCATTTTTAAATTAAATTTAAAATAAAATTTAGAGTAAATGATTTTATAGAAAAATTTTTAATGAAAAATATATGAATGATTTTAGTAGATATTAGAGAGAGATTATTAATAGGAAAATATTTATTTTCTGCTATCAATTTTGAAATTATAATGAATCATCAAAAGTATACACTTTCAAATATTAATAAAAGTAGTAAGTGAACCGACAAGAAATAATCGGACACTGAGGATAACTCCGAATAACTAGATACAAATTAGGGATGGGCCCTGCTGCATTCTAAAACAATCTGTTATGCGTCAGTTCTGTCGAAGGAATTTTGTTACTGAAATTTAGTCACCAAACGTAAAAAACGAATCTTATCAACAACGGATCAAAGTGATAAAAAAATTGTCATTCACTCTCCCATTTGATCATTTTCACAGTTGATCACTCTCCCTGAAAATTGATCAACGTAGGGTGATCAAATGGAGAGTGATCGACTAGAAAATTGATCTGCTTTCCTTCTGATTATTTTTTTGAAATTTATCTACAATTTAAAATTGATCAGAATGAAAAGTATTAAAATTTCAATTGATGCATTATTATGATTTTAATACATTAATCAGTAAAAAAATTCTAGAATAAATTTTAACATTCATTTAGATCACCGGTACAATAAGAAAATACTTTTTAATATTTATGATAATATACGTAATTATATATAATTAATTATCATGATAATCAAGCAAAACAGAAATATAATCTCCATATTTGACCGAATGCCAATGGACGAGTTACAATAATCTGTGTCACACCCATAACAGGTACAATGCTTGTCCATGCCTAATACTAACATACCCAAATCAAGTATATCACAACTACCACAACTTTTGAAAAAGCCATCTAAATTTTTGAATAAAATTTATATCAAGATTTCAGGAATGATTCAGCTTAAAGCATTTTGATTTAAGTTAAATATTTACTGGATAAAATGAAATGAGATGAGATTAGAGGTCGTGGTTTATGAGCTGTGCTTCGAAATTTTGATTTTGCGACGAATTTTGGTACAAGCTTCGAAGCGCTGTTATTAATACGAGCTTCGAAGCACTGAATACCCCGTCAAGGATAGCAAGGTCCTAGCATTAGAATTTAATTAAACTAACATTCTCCACAATCCACTTTATGGCATTCATCACTAGACATTGTTCCGCACTTTGTTAATTTTATTTTAATACTACCTTGCCCTGGTAAATTAGAATCTTCCTCTTGGTAACATCTGATTGTGTCTGATAAATCAAATTATATTTTATATTTTGATTTTTAACAATTTACCTCCAAATTTAAAATTTATCAATAAGAAAAGAGTTAAAATATTAATTAATACGAATTTCATTTTTAAATTTGGAATAAATAATTTAGTCAAAATAAATTGAAAAATACTATATGAATGATTTAAATATAGTGAAGTTTTGAACAGAAAAAAATATTTTTAGGTGAATAACACTTTATTTTACATCGTAATAATGATTTTATCATTAAAAATTTAAAACTTCAATAATTAATAAAAATTAAATTTTTTAATTTTTATTTAATTACTCAACATTTATTTAGCCTTATTAAAGTTTTTTTGAAGGATATATAAATTATTTAAAATTGTAAAATAGATAAATAAAATTGATATGTATATTTTTAAAAATGCACTAGATATTTAAAAATACAAATTTTAATAATTTAAAATTTGTTTAAAAATAAAAATTAAGTAAATTAAATAATTAATTTTTCAATTTATATCAAGT